ATTCTGTTGCAAGGTAGTAGCACCTCCTTTGGCCTCCTTCTTTTCTTGAGATGCCTTAAGAAATTGACATCAAGCTGCATCAATAAAATATAATGTATGAGCTACAACTCCAACAATAATTTCACTCCATCTACCACCAGAGTCAATGAAAAGGAAAGCAACATTTGAAAAACTGCGAATCTGCTGAACAGATAACACCTTCCTCTGCGGGATGAAAAATCCCACTGCAGTTTTGTTGTCGGGGGGGTTTTATGTGTTTTCTCTCTTTCCTTGTTTGTATTCCGGGGCGGCCGCCTGGCTCCGAGTGAGGTATACAGAGTCATTGCTCTTTTGGCTCCAGCCCTGACATCTCGTGCCCTCGAGTGCGGACTCCTTAGCCACGATCTGATCAGCATCTTTATAGTTTATCAGCCTTGGGGTTCAATTTTGGCTTGGATGCTTTTACAAATGAACGCAATCACTGGTGAGCCTTCGCATCCTGATTGCATTGAGAGAAGCGGGCGGAGGAAAGTTTAGTGGATTACCGTGCCACTTGAGGATGGAGCACAAACACATTGAGGCAGCCACAGAGGGGGTCGCCGGGGCCCTCCCCCCCTCCTCCAGCCTGGGCTATTGGCACTCGCTGCTTTTACTCCGTCTTATTTTACTAAAATAATATAATTGTCTCCCATCTTATTGCTTGTAAAGCCATCTTCTGTCTGCAGGCGATGTGTGTGATCAATGTACTATCTAACAGAATCAATTCTTCCAGGAATACCTTGTGTTTGTGAAATGATCCCAGGCAGCTGCAGCAAAACGACTAGGCAAGAAGTGGGGATCGTGCTACAAGGATTAGTTTAGTGACTTGGACCCTCCAGTTCACACTGAATAGTATGTCCCTGCATCCATTTCTCATATTGTACAGTAGGAGTGTTTGTGTACCTGTACTTCTCTCTGAGGGAGGACCAGTGAGTTAAAGATCTTGGAGGATATGGTTGGGAAAGTGAGGACATTTTGACTGGTCCTTACAAATACAAAGCGTTGTTTGAACTTTTGGTTTAGGGATCGGGTTAGAAATAGTTTTAACTTGGAGGTAGGGTTAGGGTTGGGTTTTCTGCAGGTTTCAACAAGTTAACTTAAAGAGTTTTGAAGACTTTTTTTAGACCATATAGGAGGAAATTTAAGATCTACGTCAAGGACAACAGAAATGAGGGAATATCAGACTCTTATTTACAACAAAAGTAGTGGGTACACGCAGGTTTTTTTAAATGCAGGTAGACCCTCACAAAAAAGGTGTTTAAATCCTCTCCCATTGCCAGTAGAGGGGTTGGCCTGTTTGTTCTTCACTGCGTCATGATTGACAACAAAAATGTTTTCCAAATCAGCGTGTTCACCCGGGCGCCTCGTTTCCATGTCTGCCGATCGAAGCCGGTTAAAATCTGGATCTACTGAAGACATATTTGACGCAGGAGTGAATGGCGATTGCATCCATTCCCTTTGCTGACAAAAACCAGATGTGAGTGGGTGTGAGTGGATTCTTTGACAAGTGTAAAAGGGAGTTTTACGCTTCTCCTTCTCCTAAGTAGCCTAGTGGAGGAACAACCTCTTAACACTATGTTAACTTGCAAACTATAGGCAGACACACAGTTAACTGTAAGAAATAAATACAAGACGAAAATAAGGAAATTACCACAACTTCATTTACTGGCAGTAACATATATATTCTGTCAATATGTGTGAACAAACCCCAAAAATAAAAACTGCACGATTCATGGTGGCATTTAAGGTGTCTATCACAAACCGCGATGACTGATGTCTCACTGCCAATCCTGATTGATTTTTCCCAATGTGCACACATCCTCTAATTCTACAAATAAACAACTATTTCAAAAGTGAATTATGGGAGGCCTCTGGGGTGGACTGAGGTGAATAATATGCAAAAATACTATGGGGGGTATATGAAAACTGAGGAGTGGGATCAAGCCAAAGGAAACCATTTAGCAGGTCAGGTTGTAAGTGGTTGTGCAAGGTTGTGACAGTGTTTTATCATCGTGTTTTTTTATGGAGAGTCACAAAACATTTACACAAAACGCCTGAGAAAAGAGCGTGACTGACATTTTAAGCATATTGTTTTAATATGGTGTAAACTACTGGCTTGGCAAGTCTTTAGCAAAAGCAGTACCGGGCTTAATAAGCATAGGGATCTTTCCAAGAGGTACCATGACATATTGAATTACTTATACACATTGTGGGAAATAAATAAATTTTATGCAAAGTCTGGTATGCCTTTGCAATTGTCATTCAGCTGTTTAGTCCGGTGGTTTAATTCGATTTAGGGGGAAACAGCGATGCCAAATTGTGTCTTTTGATAACGTCGCTGAAATGATTGAGTTATGTGTTATTGCATTTGTGACTTGAGTTCTGTCTGCTGCTGCGCAGTTTCAGCCTCTACCTGAGAACAGCTGAACCAGCAAGAGAAGTCAGGTCCAAAATCCTTTCATTTCCTTTGTGAACCACGTCATGTTCTATATTAGGTGGATAAAGGATGTATGTGCCTTCATGTCTGTGCACCTTAGATCTGGCTGGAAATTTCACCCTCCCCTCTTTTTTTTTCTCCTTCTCCTTCCTCCGCTCTGTTTACTTTCCTACAGTCTCATCTTTTATGGGCCTTGTTTTGTCTCTTTTTCTCTCTTTCTCTCCCTCTCTCGTCTCGCTCTCCCTCCTGTCCTGCCAGACTCAGCTGTGCCGGGCCTCAGTCCATTCTTTTGGGTAGCACAGGAAGTGAAACTGTAACACAGAGTTCACTGGTAATTGGCCACGGTCACGCTAACCAAACAGGAAGAAATCTGCAACTGATTAGAACTCTTCCTCCTGCAATAATAGTACCCCCCCCCCAAGCTTCGACCCAGCCCCCACAAAATTAATTATATTTGGGGGTCTATTCCCACTATTGGTTTTCCTGTTTTCAAGCTACATTATGAAGGGACAAATCCCAAAACAACAAGGCCTAGCTAGAGTTTTTTTCAATTACAGGGGGGACAGGCTAAGTCATAAAGGGCTGCGGAAGCTCGGTCTGCATCCATCTGTCCATCCGGACAGGGAGCTACTGGCAGGTCAGATCAGTCAGCGAGACACAGACTGCTGAATAATATCTTGGTGACACACACACGCATAAAACACCCAATTAAAAAGGCGTACCTGTAAGTGTTTTAAATAGTAACTCAATATTTGCACTGTCTTGGTGAAAGTACATTTTAACTGCTGTTGTAAGATTTGTGAGTGGTGAAGCAAGACTGTAATGGTAGTAACAACATTTTATGTAAATATTTTAATGGTCCAGTGTGTAAGATTTAGATGAAAGAGATCTATTGGCAGAAATTTAATGTAGAATAATTCTCATGATGTTTTCACTAGTTCGTTTCATCTAAATTGTGTAAATTGTAGTTTTCTTTACAGAAAAGGCCCTTTATATTTAAATACTTTATATTTACATCGAGGCAACCCTCTCTACGGAGGCCGCCATGTTTTTTTACATTAGTCCAGACTGAACAAACTAAACATCTTTTGAGTTTTTATGACAACTGAAGCTACCACAGTTTCTTTTTCATGTTTGGAAGGAGAGGGTGAGATGAGGGGTGTTCGGCTGCAACGTGCAACTTCAACACTAGATATCACTAAATTCTACACACTATAACTTTAAAAAATAAAATTATATAATAATCTAAAATGATTATTTTATATAATCTTTCCATATATAAAACATATTTCAACATTTCCAATCACTCAAAAACATTTAAATCCCCAAAATATGTACATTTTAAAATATAGGTTGGAAAAAGTGTTTCTTCAGAAATGTCCGAAAACAATGAGTGTGTGTGTGTGTACACAGCCCATCTGAAATGGTTGTGATTTGCATTGTGGAGAATTGTATTGCTTGATGTGACACGCTCATTTCACTGATGCAGTTGTTAAGCACACAAGAACAGTGGGAAGCCGCGCAGTGCAAGTGAAATGTTAGAATACTGCGGCCTTCAGCGCCTTTTCAAAATAAAATGAAATACTTTTCATCTCATCTTCACGCAGAAAGAGACAGAAAGTCAGGGCTAGCTTTAAAAATAAACGAATGCTTAACAATGTTTTTGATGTCCTATATTTAAATTTGTACGCTTACTTACATTACTCCTACTTCCTCGGTCTTGGAACTAATCCGTTTGATATGGAAATGGGGCGCTGTGTTTCATGACAGTGTTGGGAAGAGAGAGAGACAGAATTTCCAGGTTCGCTTCGACTGGAAATGTGCTGAAAACAGATTTTCAGAATCCTTTGCGTTCATGGTGTTGGTTATAGGGGATTACGCAAACCACTTAAAGTGCAAACAATGAGCTGCTTTTATTCGACAAACAAAAAGTCCTTCATGCTGGACACATTCTCCACACTCCAGAGGTTAATCACATCAAGTCAATAATGTGGGGCACCATCAGCACACATGGCATTGTAGAAATGTATGAATCTAAAATTTGACAATAGAATAATAATTCGATTAAGAACTATGTATTTTTACACTTTTTGATTAAAATAAAA